TTAAGTAAAGCTGAATTTTTAGGGTGGCCTTTTATAGCCACTGGTCAAAGGAACATCGCCTCACACTATCTGATCATTGTACTTTAAAGCCACAGCTTACCAGCCTTTGAATTAACTCAATGCTTGAGAATTTGTCCCGAGTTGAACAGCTCGAAAAGTTTACAAGCACAATTTACTTTTCCATGTCAGGAAACAAGACTATTTACAAACTCTGTTCATGCTGTTTTTTTGTCCCCATAAACCAGACTAGTCTCCATTATGTGACTGTGTAAACACACTTCGGTCCCCACAACATAAGCAACGCCTTTCCACACACACACTCGGCGAGGTGACTCTTGATTGAAGGGCTGCTATCTGACCGCAGAGGCAGAAACGGTGTCACTGCCTCCTTGGAGAGCAGTCAGATAAGATAATGGATCAATACGGTGGATACACCGGTGTCACGGCTCAGTAAGGTCATCGCGTCCTTCTGCCGTATCGCCGACTTTAGTAAGTGCCGAGGATCCTATGGCTTTGCTTTGATTGGCACCACAGGAGGTGTTGGACTTGATGTTGTGCTTATCTACAGTTTCCACAAAGGACGGGGCTGGCATGTTGGCCAGAGGGGAAAAGCACAACATCAATATGGAATTCAAGGGCTCCCCTTCAAATAAACAAGAAGAGTGGGGAAATTAATACAGAGCTAACGGAGCTAAATGCATGATTAAAGTGAAGCACGGTTTATCCCGCATGATGACAGGTGCTCCTCCGCTCAAGTGTCAAAGTTGGAAGCACAGCACAACGCATTTATCATTTTGGCACAGTAGAAGTTGAGCCCAGTAGTGAGTATCCAGGAGGATGCATTGTTCAGCATCAAATCTTCCTGCAGTCACTGGAGCCGGTCCAGCGAATCGTATTGTATTGGCCATCTGTGGAGACTCATCTGAAGATAAAGGAGATTAGCCCGTCTCTAAACTGCATCAGCCACTCAGGTATATTATTCTATCACTCCTCTGTGTGCCACTAATGCAGCACAGCTCAGATACAGTGGCTTTATTTTATTCCCATTTGCTTTCACCATTATATCTTGGCTAAACACCAGTCCAGCTGTCCCTGCTTGTTCCTGAAATGGCTGGAAATTGGCCGCCACACGAGCAGGTGCTGTGAGGGCGTTGGGCTCTTTCTGAGATGCCAGATCAGACCTGTACCTGCAAACTCAACATCACATATACAGTTGTTTCTTTTTAAGCAAGACAGCTACTGATTCAGAGCTCAGTTTGAATAATAAGTAGTATTTAACCCTCAAAACCCTTAGGCAGATTTAAAAGGCATGTTTTCTTTAACAAATTGTCCAAATGACACAGTGTGAAATGCTGAACGACGGAAAGTTTTCCGACGATCATTGAACTAATCATCTGTGACGTGCTGCTTCTGTCAAAAAAAAAAAAGATAACCAAATCTAAGCATAAAGTCACGATATTTTATCAAAATAACTTTATGCTACATGTCTCATTTTAAAAATTGCCAAAAAATAAATGTTTTGCACTAACCAGACTATTAAAAAAAAAAAAAAAAAAAAAAAGTCTTGTCAACCGTGAAGCCATTAGTGACTCAGCTGTAACCATTCGTCTGAACTGCAGGCTGTGTTTGTAGTATGAAAACAAATTAAAAATGTAATAAGTAAATGATCTGTAGTGTGCAAAGATACCATCATATTTTCCAGTCTTGGTAACACTGTTGGATAGTCGGAAAAATGCTGCACTTTGATTCTTGTTTTTTTTATATTTTGCCAAACAAATAGTCAAACAGAATTAACTTTCATTTTTCCTGTGTGAATGATGAAGCTATTATAGATAAGACTTTTTTTGAATTCTCTCTACATCTAATCAAGGTTGTGCTGTTTCAATAGAGGTGCAGGACTTTATATTGCAGTGAAAAATGAGCCCATGGTGACTAAAAAATGAAAGAGAAGCAAAAAATAAAGCCCAGAATCTTCTTGGAGTTCAGAGGGTTAAACAGTGATTCTCTTTCTTCTTGAAAACCTAATTTAATCAAAGAAAGAGCAAATGTGGAATTTTGATCTTTGAAAATATGAGCATTCATGTTGTCACTGTTTATTCATTAGCAATCATCTGCCTGAGTTTCTCTCACACACCCACACACATATTGTTATTCCTGAAATATCATTCTGAATTAAAAGTGTCGCCTTCTGGGACGCTGCTGTTTTTCATTTTTACCCACGACACACACACTCACACACACACACACACAGACAATTACATAACCATTAAAAACATTTTTTTTTTTACAAGTTCTAAAAGCTTTATTTTCCAAAATCCATCCCTTTTTCTCTCTAATGTACAGCACTGTAAGATTTTTTTTTGTTATTTTTTTGTCTCTCCATCCATGCGTACAGTGTTTCCTGCTCTCTCGAGCTGTGGAGGGATACCCTGAATGGATGGTCATGTTAGCATTTGCTCAACCTGTCACCCCTGAGAAGGCCTGGCTAATGTGACTTTAGGATATTGTCTTAAAAAAAGGCCTTGAATTACATTATTAATTCAGTCATCGTCAACAAGGAGGAAAAAAAAAGAAAAAAAGCTCACTCAGAAAAGAAAAAAAAATTTAAATATCTTCTCATGTACTTTTAAAAAACATGTCGGTAAAACCATGTAAATAAACAAGAAAGAAAAAGAAAAGCAAAAAAAAAAAAAAAGCATTTATCCTCTCCCTGTATGCCGTACAGAGCCTACAATAACATACTCCTCTATGATAGCAGTTCTTTATGATACAGATAACAATAGCAACTCTGGTAAAATCTCTATAGTTACTCTATGATTTCTACATATAATTTGCCTTCTCTAGATTCTGTATTTTTTTTAAGAAAAAAAAAAAAAGTTCTTTAGGTTCAGAGTTCCCACTGAGCGATAGAAACGAACAAACAGTGAAGATTAAAGGCTGGCTGGTTCACTGAGTAGTGCGACTGGGGAGAAATCACATTATTATTATTATGGCGGGTTGGTGGGGGGGGAAGAGACCCAGAAAGGAACAGAAATAAGGTTGTTTTTTGTTTTTTTTTGTCGAAGCACTAGTACTGGATGGCAGTTACAGGGTTTCCACGACAGATGGCACTGCTGCGTCACACACAACTACACATATTGCACAATGTAGAAATGCATAGGATCTGCTCCATTACTGTAATTTAAGAGGTTTTGGTATGAAGGAAGGATGGAAGGGTTCTGGGGGAGGTGGTTGGGAGGGTTGGATGCACACGAACAGCAAATATGATGTTGCACTTATCCGAGAAAACACTTGTCTCTGATGTTTTTTTTTTCTTTTTTGCTCAGTGGAAGTCGCACAAAAAGGTTCTCGTGCTCCACTAAAAAGTGAAGCAGCAATGTCATACGGCGCTGAAGCACCCTTCTCTCTCTCTCTGCAGCTATAAATGGAAACTGGCCCCGACGCGTGGAGGCCGACCACGAGCGTCGAGCATCAAGGGCAGCACCGGGACGACCCATTATTCCCAATGACTCCTCCTCCGCTGACAAACCGGCCTCTGGGCTGCGTCGTGATACATCGTTCTCATCATGTGTGTACAGTATAGAATAGATAAAGCCACTGATACACTGAAAACACAACATAAACGTACTGAATGTATTGCTTTAAATGTGAGACTTGTCGTAGTCATGGATTAAACCACAACACCTGATTGTTTTTTTTTTTTCTCTCTCTCACTGAAACTGACATGGGATTGTTAAAACAGACACCAAGAGCAAAAAAAAAGAAAAAAAAAAGAAAGAAAAAGCTGAATATCAACACAATTTTTCATTGCTTTTTGTAGGTAAATCAGTTTTAAGGTGCTTTTAATGTGGTTGCCATGGCACTGTGCTTTGTTCCCTCCCACGCTGTGCGCAGACTCTGCAACTGGATGTCAATCAAATACCGGCCGAGCAGCCTCCCCAAAACTCTGAAATTCCATCAAGTCTTCAAGTTATCCGTTGTGTTTTCACTACGCGTGTGATCGAGCGAGATAGCTGCGTAGAAAATTGCAGAAAAAAAAAAATGAAATAATGGCGTTTTGCGATGTAAGACATCCGTTTTTGTGCCGCCAGCTCGGAGCGAACGTTATGTTCAAGTTGCATCTTGTGAATGATGCACTGGAGCAAAAATGAAAAAGAAATCATTCTGAAGACAGATTTGCAAATTGAAACAAAGTCAAGTTGACAGGCTGACCTTTTCTGGACCTTAATGAGCGCTTAATCCTGCGGATACAGAAACGGAAAAAGAGATCTGCAGGGCAGTGACTCAGAGACAGAGACGTGTTTTAAGGGAACAGGATTTGGTGACGGGCTGGAGGTGCAAAATGGCGTTATTGGGGTTTTAACACACACTGTATGAAGCTATAGATGCACATACTGTCTCTTTTATCCTTCAAAAGCTTAACGTTGAGTCCAGGGAGTCGCTTGATACATCATACCCAGAATGCAACTTGACTGCATTCGAAGATCCTTTAAGCGGAAAACACTTGACTTGTGCAGCCACGCGGTTATGGCTCAGGTTCGGCTGCTTTATTCACCTTTCCGAACCAATAAGTTAAAAATGTTTCAAAAGAGCATCAAGTAAAGGGACCTTATTTTGTGGCAACCACACTAAACATACATCTAGACTTGTCTATATTTGTTCTCTAATAAATTACACAATAATATCCAGAATCCAAACCATGTCGAAACATGAAATGGCTATAAAAGCGGCCTCAAGTGCACCGGACACCGTGTGGAGGCCCGTCCTGCTCCTGAGGTCATTATAAGAGGAGCAGAAAGAAGGCATGATGAGGGATCTTGGCCTTTATGATGAGAACAGCTCTCAGGCCCGGCGGCCTAGTGATCGTCAGGACTTGTGCACTCGTGCTGAGTCAGGCGGGCTGCATAGTTTGAGTGTGGCCTCTGTCACAATGAAAGGAGGGCCTTGGATTTGGTAAAGGGACAGGGGTGGAACTCGAGTGGGGAAAGCGGGTCGAGTCTTTAGTAAGGGGAGAAGATGATAGGGGTGTGTGCGGCGGCCCGCAGAGGCCCGGGGGCCGGCCGGAACAGTGCTGGGCCCAGGAACGGGGTCTGGATGAAGGTGGTGGTGGTGCCGACGGGGTGGCGCAGAGCCAGAGGGTTAGTCGCCACCGTGCACAGAGTCGGAGGGGTGAGGGGGCTGGGCAGGAAGCCGGTGGTCAAACTCTTGGTCAGCTGCTTCTGCAAGGCCAGTTTGGTCTGGAGAAGACAGGAAGAGGAGCGGCGAGAGAAGAACACAGTGAGGGAAGAACACGATTACCGGGAAAACATGCTTCCAAAACCCAGTTTGCACCCACAGCTGCAGCAGAGGAAGACATGTTCATACAAAAAAAGAAAACAAAACCATCAGACAGAACCGGATTCCTGTTAGCTTGTTGCATGAACACCCGTTAAGAACAGCTGTATGCAAAAGCACCTCTGAGTAAATCACAGATTTTGTTGATTTTGGAAGTATAAAGAAGTAAATAGAACCTGTTTAGCAAACAGACGTTAAATAAAATCTTTTATTTTAATAACTCTCCGAACCACAAGAGGCTTCCAGGGTTTTATTATTAATTTTTTTCTGCTCCCGTCACATTTCTCCTCACTGTGGGCTCATTTTTCACTGCAATATAAAGTCCTGCACCCCTTCACAAACAGCACAAACATGGATAGAGAATTCCAGCATGTTTTCAGTGCAGCATGACATAATTATCATGCCATGAATCATGAAAATAAAAAAAGGAATCAACATGTACAGCATTTTTCCAAGTGCCCACAGGTGTTACCTATACTGGAAAACAACATAGTAGCTCTACTTACTTTAGATATTTTGCTGCTTAGATTTTTAATTTCGTCTCTTTGTGAACACTGCCTGCAGTTCAGCTTAAATGTTACTGATTTTTTGTGGTATGAATAGTGATTGCAGCTAAACTTTGCTCATAATTTCTGTCATTAGAACTGTGTCAAAGTGCACAGAAGATATTTCTCTCTCCTTCTTCACGGTTGTTCTGTTTCCATCGTGGTGCAGGAATTTATATTGCAGTGAAAAATGAGCCACAGTGAGGGAAAATGTGACAGAAGTAAAAAACACCCAGAAACGCTCTGTGCAGTGTTGTACCCTTTAAACAAAGGCTATTCACCTTTTCTGTTTGCTTCAGTGGTTGTACCTACTTCTTTTCACCTCAAAAACAAAATTCAGATTCGTCCAGCGGTGCTCAAGCTTACATATAACTGTACACAATAGCCCAAATCCAGGACTACAACATAGACACACTTTTCATTAGGACAAGGGTTAAACTGCAGGCTGCGACTTAAAAGGATAGTTCAGATTTTTTTTAACCAAAAGGTGAAATGTTTCACTCACTGGTCATGATTTTGGTCCTTGGGCATTAGCTCAGATGAGAAATCCTTCAACCGGAATGCAAATGCGCAGATGATTGTGAGGCTGAAAGTGAAGTTTCTAGAGCACTAAAACTGTGTCGAGCTCTAATTACACAACTGTCTATCACCTCCTTGTAGTATATCTATCAATTTCTAAACATACATCACAGCTACTGTCCTCTGTTAACAATGAACTAAAAGAATGTTTAAGCCTCCAGAGAGCATGACTTTTATAAAAATAAAAGAGGCATCACTCTGTCATGGCACTTGCAACAAACATTATAGCTTCCAGGACCTGCTGCCGAGAAGCATCCCCACATCATGATGCTGCCACCTCCATGCTTCACGTCATGATGGTGCCACCTCCATGCTTCATGTCATGATGCTGCCACCTCCATGCTTCACGTCATGATGCTGCCACCACCATGTTTCACATCATGATGCTGCCACCACCATGCTTCTCAGTGGGGATGGTGCTTTAGTGATGATGTGCAGTGTTTGGTGTCCAGCCAACAGAGGGTCAAGTCTGATTGTTAAAAAGCTTAACTTCTTCCAGTTGACTTCAGAGTCTCCCACATGTCTTCTGGTGAACTCTAGTCCAGATTTAATATGAGCTTTTTCCAACACTGTCTTTCTCCTTCAGAGGAGTCGTAGGTGTCTTGGTGGCCTCCCTTACTAGTTTCAGTCTGTTTTTAATGATGGATTTAACTCCAAGGGATATTCCGTGACTTGGGAATTTTCTTGTATCATCCTATGACTTGTGCTTTTCAATAACCTTTTTCCACAGAGTTGGTTGGAGTGTTCTTTTACCTTCATGGTGTAGTCATATGCAGGAGTACCGATTCACCAGTGACTGGACCTTCCAGATAGAGGTTACTTTATACTACAATCACTGAGACACAATCACTGCATTCAGATGATCTCCATCTCACTAACCATGTGAGTTGAACCTTCTTGTCTTTTTATAGGGTTCTGTGATTTTTGCAAGGTCTTTATAGACTACATGTTTTGTGCACATTGTACTACAGGAGTGTCTTCAAAATGTCATTGTATTGCTGTCTTGCATTGCATTATAATGACAAGAAGGCATCTAGTTATTTCATAAAGATTTTTGAAGCACTATGAATTGGAAAACCCTGATTTTTCCTTTAGCCCAGTAACAATACTATGTAACTCAGCTGGGACCACTGTTAAAGTGGTTTTACCTAAATACCTGCTCAATGCATGTTCAGATATTGGCTACAAATGCAAAAATTTTAATATTGTTTTTCTCATAGCCTCTGACTGGCACCATACTCTACATTTGGAAAGCTCATTTTGGTGCCAAGGCTTAGTGGAATATTGGAATAGACAGAAACATTTTTGACCAAATCATCATCATATTACTGGTTTGTATTACTCTATCAAAGCAGGGTTGTACCATTGAAGAGTTTATAAAACTTCAGGACTCTAGCTACATTATTTCTCAGGTTATGGCACCTAAAACGTTGGTCTACAGATTGGTGCAAAGAAAATGATGCAAAAATCAACATGACTCCACCCCGCTAAGAATTGTTCACTGGAAAACACCTGTAATCAAAAATTGTGCACATTTTACGTACTAACATGCTCAGAAAAAAATAAGATGAGATGCTCAGTCATGAACTGAGTCAAAGGAGCTGGAATGACCCCCCCCACCAAGGACCAGTGGCATAGGAATTATTTGCAAATCACCGCCAGCGAGTAAAAAATCTGAACCATCCCTTTAACTTCTTCACGACCTCTGCTCAGTCCCCTGCCCTCGGCCAGGCCTAAAGCCAGCTGAAGCGCTCGCCCTCCAATCCAACCCCAGTCGCGGCCTCTCCTGCCACTGACCTGCGAGGAGAGGGAGGTGAGGTTGTACTGGCTGAAGGCTTTCTTCATGGTAGACACAGCCACGCCTGCATAGCCACTCCACCTCACGTTCTGTAGGATGAAGATGGAGGAGGAGGAGGAGGAGGAGGAGGAGGAGGAAGAAGAGGAAAGACGGGGAGGTGTTTGTATGACAGGGGCAGAGAAGTGATTAATCTGGAGTGCTGATTCAGGCCGCTGTTGTCAGAGCTGGTCAGCGGTGGGACTGTTTATTTAGACCTGTCTCAGGGGTAGGGGACTCATCGAGTACAACAGTGCTGTTATCCTCTGTGACAGACCACAACACACAAACATGCTGCCTCACCACGACATGAGAAGACCCCCCCGAGTGCAATAATGTAAAGTAATCCGTATATGTTGGTCAGAGGCCGAGGTCAAATCAGTTCACCGCAGCAGAGACATATTAAAACTGGTGTTTGAAATGGAATTATACTGCAAAAATTAATGATTTTAACTGAACAATTTATTGTTATGTTGCAAATTTGACACGGTTTGTTAAATTATGGACAATATCGACAAAAATCGCAGAACAAAATTAAATGATAAGCCAAAATTGTAAATAATTCAACAAAAATGCATTTTTTAGAAATAGTAAAGCATTCTTTTACAAATGACACAACTTTACTGTATTTTAATCAGCAAAAAATATTGTCATTTTGCAAACATGAGCTCACTTTTAGGAGGGAAAAAAATCATATATAATAAGTAGTGAAATTTGGTAAATATTTTCTGTTATTCCACTGATTTTCCCTGTTTTGTTAAATGACAGATAATGTGTACAGAAAATCTCAGAAAAGAAATTTTCATTTACAAGTTAACCCTTAAAAAACAGGCCAAAGCTGTAAATCCAAATTTTTTTTTTTTTACAAAAGTTTTACAAATATTAATTTCTCTCTTTTTTTTTTACCATGTCTGATCATAAAAATTATAGTCTTACTATATTTAAATCAGCAAAAAAAATCTAATAAAATTTACAGATATTTGCTGTTATTTAAAAATAAAATGGCTTTAAACTGTTATTTTACAGATTTTCCCGTTTTGTTTAGCTACAAATACTATTTGGTAAAATCACAGAAAAGAATTACTAGTTTGCATGTCAACAGCAAAAAAAAAAACAAAACTTCCCAAAACTGTACTTAATGTAATCAAAACTCTGCTTTTACATGAAGTGATTTTTATTTATTTTATTGTTTTTAGAGTGCGTGACCATAAAATTACACAACTTTACAGATATCAACCCATATTTCCACTTAAAAAACAACAACAAAAAAAGAGAGAAAGTTTTGGAACATTTCAATTTTGAAACATTTTTTTATAGGTTATATTTTTTAGAGTGTAGTTTACAAGTTTGTCTGAATTTATTCCGGTTTTGGCAAACATGTTCAAGGATATCTGCTGTGAGAAAAACAGCAATTATGCTTCCTCGAGTGTGTGTGTGTGTGCATGCGTGCATATCTGCGTGACAGTGTTTTGTTTGTGCTGAGACTTACCGCTAAGCTGGAGCTCGGCTGGCTCTTGCTGTGGGGGGTAAATTTGGGTTTGGGTGGCTTTCCGGCCAGCCGATCCTTGTGCCGTCTGCTATTCATGTGCTGTCGAGACCAGCAGAAACACCATTAGCAGGCTAACAAGCATCTGTCGTACCACGGCGGAACAACTTCAAATGCTATCTGCTGAATTAATAATGGATACACACTGACTGAAGTGCAGAGAAATTACATCACATTACTTTTTACCACTCCTTCTGTGGGTGCAGCGCTCACAGGCTCATGTCCTCCTGGGATAACAGGGTGTTTATATAAGACCGGTGTAATGCATTTAAGGCTAAAGCAGCCCGGGTGCACGCAAATGTCAGCATATCCTGTGTCTTTTCCGCATTCCTCACCAGCAGCGACAGCCCCACGACACGCATGTAGTATTTAATGGACATCAAAAGCAGAGAAAGTGTTTCCCCCGACCTGATTTTGATGCCAGCATATCCAGGATGAGCGCAGGAGGCATTAGTAGCTCGCAATAATGAGCTGTAAATGAATCCCCTCTCACTGAAGCGTTAGTAAAGCTGTGTAATGTTGAAAAATAGCAGCTTAAAGGTACTCCGCACTCACAACCTGCTTTCAGCGGGCTTCATTCATGTGGCTGTAAATGAAGCTTTGATATAAGCTCGCACACAATCGAGGCGATGTGCAAATCGTCTCTTTGATTAAGTGGGGTCTTTAAAAACCTCATCATTTATATTTATCACTTTAATACACATCATTGTTGTTGGCTTTTATAATTGTGACATTACAGGCCAATGTGATCTAAGTTCAATATGTAATAATTGCCAACAGTGTGCCTGCACCTCTGTTTTCTGATTAATTCTGCAGCCACATCATCTGTCTGCAGAGGTGAGCTAATTATGTGCAGCGTTCTCTCCACCGCCCGCCACGATTGGGCTCGAGTGCTTTTCCTCCGCACTGTCAACTGCACTTCTACGCCCTTTTGAACAAAATCCTATCAGGTTAGCAGCACTCTCACTTAGTATGCCTTGACAAATCTGCAGGACTTCCCCCGAACCCCCCGCTTCCCTCGTCATCTTTCATTTCACACAGCAACAAGAAGGATAGAAAAAGTCTCAGAGCGTCGGCTTTGTCCTCCTACTCGCTTTGCAGCAGAAACTTCGGCGGCGCTAAAAGTTCACGGAGGTCACTCTGGAAGTTTTGGTGTGTCGCCACTGTTCACTTTTATCACCATTTCTTTATCACCTTACTCAGATTAAACAAGTTATCAAGGGATGAATTTCTTTTCATCTATTCAATTAAACCAACCAATTGAAAATAAAGCTGAAGTGCCAAAACCTGCAGTTCCTTGAACGTCCACTGTGGATTGCTCTAAAAGCGAGTCAATCCCTATCGACCGCCATGTTAAAATGTTGGAATTTTAGAGGTGAAACAAACATGTTTGCAGCCTGGTAACAAAACATTTTTGGCCTCTGTCGCTAATTTTGCCTTTCATGACCACTGCCTGGTGGTGAATTTTTTATGTTATCTGTTTAAATTGCATTAACCCGCTGAACCCCAACGGTGGGTTAGAAAAGCTCGCTATCTTTATAGAATCGTCAAAATTTTGCCATTTATCAGAGCCACAAACTTTAAAAACAGAAAGAATCATTGGATAGTCAACTCTTTGACAATTCCTGAACGAATTAAAATTGTCCAAATCTAAGCCTTAAATCCTGATATTTCATCAAAATCTTCTGATTCTGCACGTCTCATTTTTTAAAAAAAATTGCCCAAAATAAACCATTTGCTCAGACCACACTCTTCAAAAACTGTAAATATGACAAATTCAGTGTTGCTTGGTGGAATCATGAAGCCGTTAGTGACTCAACTGCAACCACGTAAAGCGAGGATACTGAATATTGTTCCAATACTGGTAACACTTCTTAGCACATGTTAATTCTAGTTTGGAGGAATCAAGACTGAAGTTCAAAAGGAGATTCAAAACCGAAGTTCAGGAGACTTACGGGTGACGTTGCAGAGGTTTTGTCCATCTTTATGTACAGTTTATGATGCCATCTCTTATACAACGTGGACAATTTCTCTCTTACAAAATCCCCAGTGGGAATAATGCAATACAGTCATATAGACATATACAGATGAGTGAAAAAATTCTACTTCAATCCAGTCTTTGGGCACAAATCATGCCAGTAAAATGTCCCCACAGCACAATGGAATCCACCAGATCACCACTCAATTTAATATGTGAGCTGTCTGTATATGCAACATCATCTACATTTAGATTTATTTTTACCTGGCTCAGTTGGGTCTCCGAGTTCACAAAGATCTCGCACACTTCACACTGGAAGTTCTTGCTGGGAACCCCGACGCTGCCTTTGCTGCCCAGTCGCTTGCTCTTGCAACCAGCACGAGCTGCCACCACCTTCCCCCGACGCCGCGGCAGAACGCTGTGACCCTCCAGCATCAGTTTGTGCTTTGTACCTGGTGGAGAGCACGAAGAATTGAAACAGTCTTATGGGTAACACCGAAAATCAACAGCAAATGTATAAAGTAGTGTAACCAGAACCTGAGGCTGATTAAGGCAATTTTTCAAGGGTGTCGGCACAAATGTAAGCCTGATCCTTTGTTCACATCATCTGTCACAGTAATTTAACTAACAAATAGGGCAGCATCATCAATCAATAATTAATTTAGAACACACGCTGAGAACACTAAACATATGTCCTGTGTTGATTTTACTGTTTTAAAGCACAAACACAACCACAACCCCAGCTAGGATACTTTTGTCTCTGAGAAAGTTTTGCAATGTTTTCAGTGGAAAGCATTTCTTAAGTTTCTACAAGGTTTTTCAAAAAAGTAAGATAATGTTTTCTCAAGACGTTCTAAAAATGTTGAGTGATAACACTGTTGGACCGTTGGGCCCTAACACTCTTACAACGAATGCTGTATTATCCTGCAACACTGGAACATTGTGGGGATGTTTTATAATGTGTTACACTAACAGAACCTAAACCTCTGAAAACAACCTCAGAATTTTGCAAGCAAAATTTTGGACGTTTGTTGTTAAATCACATTACCAGGACCTCGATACCATCTGGAAAACATTTTTTGTGCGTTTGAGAACGTTCCAAATTTGGCATCATAGAACATCATCTGTGGCCCTGACAACATCCTTCCAACATCCACACAAAATGTTCTGTTTTAGTTCACTTCAAACGTTATTGGAAATGACATATTCAAATTTAAAACAATCTTGTACACAATGCTAGCCAATGTTGTGGGAACATTTCCTGCTAGGTGGGATGGCAGCTGTTATACTGGAACATGCGAACATTGTCCTGATTGTTCCTGACTTTGATTAATTCATGAACTTTGGCCAGAGGTCATTAAGTATCACAGAAGACTTTGTCACGGTGTCCCTTTACTAACTAAACCTCCACAATGCTCTCTGCTTGGCAGCATGAAACTACCCACCTGTTGGTGCAACCAGGTACTACAGCTGATCTATAAACCTTGAAGTGTGTATTATTCAGTAAAACAGTCTCTGGTATCACCAAATACTAAACATGAAATGATTTGGCTCAGATTGGAGGCAAAACCATCTTGATGGAGACGTCCCCAGATCCTCGTCATGCTCTTACCGCTGTTATGTGCTTCCAGTTGGGAGAGGGAGTTGACTGTGACTTTACAAACAGGACAGTGGAGATGAGCTTTGCTTTTCTTCGGGTCTTTGTCGTCCTCCGTACGCGGCTCTTCGGTCGTGCTGGACGTCTCTGCCCGGCTGCTGGACTCGTTGGTCGGACCCGCTGCCTCGGCAGCCTCCGGGACTTCAGGAGCGCTGGTGTCTGACGCCGTCTCGGAGAGCTGTGAGGAAGGAGAAATCTGAGGAGGGGAAAGGGTGGCCAGCTCCACGGAGGAAACCTCCGATACCGGCGTCAGCATCACGGAGCTCCTGGGACTCTCCTCGAGCTTCGCCTCCAGGTTGGCTGGTTCTAGGTCAGTCTGAAGACCTGCAACAAACAAGAGAGGTAAAATATTAGCAAACTGTGATTCATTTAGCACCTGATCATCGTGGAGTGTAACACATACTTGTGATCACTGTAGCCTCTGTTCAGTGAACCGACTAGTTTGGTAAGGCTTTGTGGGGAGAAATGGGAGTTGCGGTAACTTATTTAATTCTCTAAACCCCCAAACCAGCCAGCGGGTTTGAAAGTGTGCTGCAGGCTGTGCTCACATAGAGCAGATAGGCGACAAGTATTAAAACAAATTAAAAATATAAGTAGTAGCATGTCTTTTTCCAGTATTGGTAACACCTGTGGGCATTTGACAAAATGTAGGGCATGTTGATTCTAGTTTTTTATTTTATTTTTTTTAAGTTTAAATAACCACAGAAATTCAACTTAGCTTTTTTCTTTATGATTTATGATGTTTTAACTTTGTTATTCTGCACAGAAGACATTTCTAAGTTTTATCTAATGCTGTTGTGCTGTTTAAATAGAGGTGCAGGACTTTATATGGCATTGAAAAATGAGCCCACATTGAGGAAAAATGTGACTGGAAAGAAAAAAAACAGAGGGTTTTTGAATCCCGGTTGGGATTCTGTTGGGATTGTTCGCTGCATGTAAAAAAAAAAAAAAAAAAAGGCAAAAATGCCAACAAACAAATCTTTTTAAAAAAATGTATGCGCAGTATTACCCCAGCAGAGCATGACATTGACTTGAAGAAAACAGGACAAAAAACATCCTTGCATGCCTAATCAGCAAAACACTCTTGATGTCTCGATTCAACTTTACGAATGCAAATATAAAGTCGACCGAAATAATCTCCAAATAGCCATTTCTCTCTTAGTAAAATACTGGATGTCGCTTTAAGACTGCTTTTCAACTGCCGGCTTTGTGGCGTTCTCCGATATAATATGAGCCTTTGTTTAAAACCATGTGGAACCGACGAGATTAGAGTTGGTTTAGGCGAGTAAATGCCATCGGCCTCCTCTCTCTTGCCTTGCTCTGCCTCGCTATTCAAATATCAAGTGGACCTGGAGTCTCAGTCAATATAAACAAACCCATCGACTGGCTGATAAGTCGCCGGAGTTCCATTACACATCTCCCCTTCACCCCGTCGCCCTCCCGGGGGAGTTGCACACTTCACCCCAGAGCACTGAGCGCTACGCTAGCTGAATATCTCCATTTCATTTAGTGCCAAGCACACACACCACCCACCTCAGCGCAACCATTGATTTTCCCTTTTATGTCTCAGAGTAAATTCATCATTGGAGATAAGGGTCTTCCTCTCTCATTCCCGCCAAAGCAAAAAAAAAAGAGACCATATAGGAGCAAGATTAGACAGTCCCCTCGCTGTAATGAGAGTGACCCATAAGGGATTTGAGCTCTGTTTCTCGCTGGGCAAAGGGGGGGGCAGGTATGATATCTGAAAGACGAGGCCACCTGAGAAGTCTCTGGAGGGGAGTGATACTGATCACTGGATTTAGCAGGAGCCTTACAGAGGAAGACATGGAGGTTGGTGGGAATCAAAGCCGTCTAAAATCCAAGGATTCAGATCATGAGGGACCTTTATTCAGCAGAGAATCACTTCAAATATGCCTGCTGAGGTTTCGGGTGTCTTCATTTTTAGCAACGCCGAATTTGAACAGAATCTTTTTCCAAACTTAAATTACAAAGTCTTGTAATGTAGTATTTAATCAAAAGGTAATATTGATTATGTTTTCCAGCCATTTATCAAGCTGCCATGTCAAACTGGTCAGCTCCACTGGTTCTGTTGGATGCCTATTTCTGCCAGTTAAAAGGTAGAGGTTTTATAAATTGTCTATTTACAGTATACGACAAAAGTGAGTAAGATGCTATGCAGCTGAAAGTCCACCTGTGATTTCCAATCAGCCCAACATGGTTTTGGACCTATGGGCTGCATCTACCTACATGAGATCGTCCTCCTAGAACCACTTTCACAATCTAGCTGTGAAAAACCAGACTTGGCCAAGAGGTTATTGGTGGAAATCAGAGTTTCTGTGACAGCTCAGACAGGGTAAAGAGCAGTTTGTAACATCAACCTTTATGGATGGTTTCCAAGAAAAAAAACCCTTACTTCTTCCAACAGCTCAAAACTGCAAGACTAAACTTTGCTAAAGACGAAGACTGATGCATGTTGGGAACACATCCTTTGGTCAGATGAGACCAATGTAAACTCATTCAGCTCGGATTGAGTCCAGCATGTTTGGTGTGAGCCTGATCAGGACGACCACAGTGAATGCATCGTCCTGACAGGTGGGAGTGTGATGACATGGGGCTGCATGAGTGCAAAAGGTGTTGTGGAGATGACATTTATAGATGACACCATGAACAAACCAAAATACTGGATGACTCCCAGTCTGCAGAAGCTTGAAGAAGAGTCATGTCACCTTATTTAATTCTACAGAACACGATTTTAAAAAGAAGAGAGGCGCAACACAAACCCCCCACCACTTAAGAGAAATAAAATCTCTAAGAGCAAATAGTTTTAAGGAGTAATAGTATTTCATTTGAGATTTATGTGATATTGCACAGGGGAGTACTCACAAGAGTTGTACACTCTATATATCTGTCTGTTCCATTAGTGTTTTTGTTCTTATCAAGGCACAATTGCCCTCTTTTTCATAACATCGGAAATAAAATCCCTTTCGGTTGTTTTTTTTTTTTTTTTGGACAAAATAAGCAATTTCATGATGATATCTGTGAAAAATTGTGATTGGCAGCTCTTGATTGATGCCAGCACTTCATTAAAAAAAATACCTTTCTTCAACCAACTTGCACTCTGAACATGTACACGGTAGCACAGACTGCCACCAAAGGCCAGCACTTTGGCATTGCCAGCAGACCCTCTACACAGCCACCAATATTGAATATCTGGGTCAATGCATTGCAAGCAGTCATCGGCTTTCTTTAACCTCAACAAAATGTAATCCAAGTTTTTAACAGTTCGGTTAAATCTGACAGACTTCTGGAGTGTAACTGTAAGAGATCTCGCAGCCAACGAAATACTGGACTCATTATGCACACACTTGCATAAAGACACCGAGTGCTTGATTTAGCAGGCAAGCGCTGATCCAAGGCAGCCCTGAGAACATAAACAACTTCCCCGGGGAAAAAAAAATCCTTTGCTTTAAATCATCATTACCGTAGTGACTGACAGACAGAGTCCCCGCGAAGACGGTTTCAACAGCGGAGTCAATCAAAGCCGAGGGTGATTGATGCTTGTCATGATTGATGCCGGCTCTCTGTCTCTTGGCGCCGACCTGGCACTCGCTTACTCGCTCAGTCACCGTCATTTGTTGTTCTGGGACGCAATTTATAAGCATCGATTAGTTCCTTTGTATGACTGGAAATTTTGCCTTTGCTGCCTCCTGTCTGTATGTGTGAATTGCTACGTGACAGGGTGTTATTTAAGATGAAGATATGCTGTATATGGCAAGTCGATCATGTAGCGCTTGTGTGCATGCAACGTGCGTTAGTAGTAACTGTCAAAAGTCAGAACCTGTGTTATGTATGTTTTTGTGGTAGGTAGGTCAACCCATTCATCCATCCATCCATCATCTATATATCGCTTAATCCTCACTAGGGTCATGGGGGGCTGGAGTCTATCCCAGCTGGGGACACCCTGGACAGGTCACCAGTCTATCACAGGGCTACACTTAGAGACAGACAACCAAGCACACTCACATTCACACCTACGGACAATTTAGAATCACCAATTAACCTCAGCATGTTTTTGGACTGTGTGGGAGGAACCTGGAGAGAACATGCAAACTCCACGTATCATCACCAGGACGTGAACCGGTGACCTTCTTGCTAACCACCAAGTCACCTTGCAGTCCTGGTAGGTAGGTGGACATTTGAAATTTCTCCATGGAATACAAACAGGAGCAGAGAAGGAACAACAGCAAGGATGATCAACCTTCATGCTGAGGATCATCATGGTGACCAGAGGTGGTGTGTGGCTACCATCAAAAGAAGAAACATTAGTTTTTATAGTGCAAAAACCTGCAGCTCGCAAAACCAGACGAGGAAAATCAAGTCTATCCAGTGTTTCCTGCAACTTTTACAATGAACTGTCAAGGCAGAGTTCTACTGAGGGAGAACATTTGGCCCAAAAAAAAATAATTTGTGGTGCGATCTCATGTGGGTATGTGGTGCTTTTTGGTCAAAACAACACAACTGTTGCTCCCCACCTGCTCTATTCTTACATTTTGCTTCATCCCAAAAATTAAATTCAAGTGGTTTTCATACAATTTTATCGCTGAAGTTCACATAACTGGACTTCAATGGAGCATTACAGTTGTTGCAGGAGCACTTGGAGCAGAGCATTGCTGCACAGTGACACGACTTCAACTGAGATGGTGGTCAAGGTAAAATCGATTACCTCCTTTTTTATAGACACAGTCTTGAAACTGACGATTCTCACACTACTGTTAAGTAAATAACACAACATCATTACATTTAACTCCTTGTTTTCACACAGTTTAGGAGATTTAGAGCTAAAGTTTACATAACAGGACTTCGCATTACAAGTGTTGCAGGAGCACTCGGAGCAGAGCGTCGCTGCACAATAAGACTTGCTTTGACTGAGATGGCACTGTTTTTGATTATTATTTTTAGGCACAGTCTCAGCATTAAAGAACATCACACCACCGTTAACTGAAAAACACTGTCAAAATGAAAACCATGCTTTCTGGCCCGAACTATCCACCGCAGCCTCGTCTCTCTATTGATTTTGTAGCTCCGCAACAACATCACACTACTTCATCCTTTTACCGCCATGGACAAGAGTCATAATTCTTCAGGTTTCTTGAGGGCCTTATCACTTGAACATAACAAATGTTGTTTGTTTTTGTTGGCAATAATTGATGCTCTTGTTTTTCCAGGGCGGAAAGCGCCAAATATAGTTTCCCCGACAGTATAGGATATCTATATTCGTGGATGTGTTCTTGCTCCTCTTAATTACGCCGAGGCAAGGCCTAAATTTTAATTACCTGGTCCATTCCGCTGTGGCAATGACCCAAATACACTTGGAAAACAATTTGCACTTTGAGCTCCGGCCAGTGCCTCACAGTCATAACGTGGTTTGTGAATAGTAGCTGCCTCCTGTGTCTAAATATGCATTAGTAGGCATTCTAATGGAGCTGACGAGGCTGACCTTGTGTGTCCAGAGGAAGCCTGTTTGTTCAGAGCCAGACAGTCGGTGTGCTCAGAGGAACAGCCGACAGGTGTGTTATTGGCTCCCGATGGCAGACAATGTGGGCATTACCCTCAGACGCCTCCCCACCAGCCTTTAGTTTCATGGCAGACATAACTCATTTCATAGAGTGTTAATTTGGAGCGCTATTCCATTACAGTTTGGCATTGTGGTGCATGCCAGCACTGGCTCGCGCTGCTGCATTTCAATTTCACATTAGGCCAATCACACAATTGGGCTTATTAAAGAGTGTTCCTCTGCACAAAATTGCCTTGGAACTGTAAAATTATTCACAGCATAAAAACCAGCTATGACTTATCTACGCTCTGACCCTCCTCCTCCACGTTCTTCCTCTCCTATTCCTTCCTCTCTCTCTCTCATTCATTTCATCTTATCTTTCATTTTCCACTCATCATCTCGTTTCGTCTCCGCCGCCTGCCGCTGCTTTCCCTCTTTCAGAGCTCTCCTTTGCAACGGCGGAATATTAAAATGAGATTTGATGAGAGCGTTATCAGACTCCCCGTCTTTTGTCCACTTTCTCCTTTCTGAAGGAGACTCTTAGTGCTCAAGGCATAAAAAAAAAAATAAAATAAAGTGTGTATGTGCACATGTCTGTCAGGGGGGATGAAGTATAAACTGCCTCCACCTTCATATCTCTGCTCTGATATTCCGTCGAGCATCATTTTGAAATTCTGCTCAGATAGCGATCTTCTCTGGGGCAGGGAAGTTGAAAAGTGGAAGAGAGAGAGAGGGGGAAAAAAAAAAAGTGTTCTACCCCTTCTCAGTTCCCATCACCTTGGATGGATAAATGAAAAGCGTGGACCCTGACAAGTGCAACACGAGATGGTAATGGGCTCACTCTGCAGTCAAAATGCCATCAGGGCAATTCACTCTCTAAAGTTGCAGCTGTGTGGTTTGGAAAAGTCAACATTCATTTTGTGCAGAGAGGAAAAACCGACGCACTCCCCTCCCTTTATCAAAACTTTAAAATGTCTATATTTACACCACCAAAGTGAAAACATTTGAACTTTTTGTAAAAGAAGATGAGCGACTTTGATTTCTTTCAACTTTATTTTCCACTTGACAGCCCATTAAATGAAAGCTCTCACCACTATTTCGCTGCCTCTCGACTCCGCCGTTCTTTTCATGCTGCACAAACACACCAATTCTGGTTTCTGCAGCCACCTTCTCCTATCTCGCCGAGATAGATGGGAGCGAGCAGGGAGGGAGTAAGGCGGAGGAGGGGGGAAGCAGTGGAAATTAAGAGGCGAAGGGGCTACAAACGACGCCGCTGAGAGTCCAATCGATCTCGGTCGGCCCCTTTATTTACACAGCGTCTCTTGCTACCCGACTTCCAACAATCCAACAACTTTCGCAGCCCTTCATTCATCACGGGGAGCAGGGACGGAGGTGCCGGGCCGAGTGCACGGGGGACAGGAGGTGTGGGGAGAGGCGGAGGGATAAGGTGTACAGAAGATGTAATCTGCGAGTGTAGCACCACGGAGCAGAGGGGAAGGAGATAAGTGCGCCCGAGATATGGAGGAGGAGGATGGAAGCTGTCAATAATGTGATGGAGGGGGTTTAGGAAGATGCAACGGAGCAGAAGAGGGAATTAGAGGACCCAAAGCGTGATAGAGGGATCATTAAGAAGGTGGAGAAAGACTGGCAAAGTTAAGTTTCTGTACGCGTAAACTGCATTCTCAATTATGTTTTAGGGGAAACAGATTTTCTGTTTGTTTCTGACCAGATGTACTGTATCTCTGCCATTTGTTCAATTGCTTCACTGTCGATTTCACTCAACCAACAAATTATATATTGCATTTGATGGGACTTGTCATCCCGGCAAAATAATGGAGAGGCTTCAAACATGCAGTTAAAGAGTCGCAACCCTTGCCTACAAGTCACGGGTAGGAAGATATGTTTCAAAGGGAAGCAACTTACTTGCTTACTTATCATACGGAGATTCAAACAGCAAGAGAAAACAAAGCTTAAATCTAAGAATGTTGGTACCACACAAAAGAAGAAGCCTGGTTCCCCAAGTGAAAGTCTTGTGCCGACTTATGCCACAATCCTCCAAACCAAACAGAGACTAAAAGTGAAACCTGGAACACTCTCGGTGAAACTTCTTGCTGACTAATCGTTTAAACTGGACGCCTTTCCTGCATAACATAAAGGAGAATACAGTTTGTTTGTATAGGAACATAGTTTTTGGTTCCTGAGGAGAAGGTGACAAGTTGAGTGAAAACCGAAAGCATCTAACCCCAACACGTTTAGTCAGCATTGCCAAAGTGTCAACCAAAGCAGGATATTTACTCAAACCTAACCACATAATGTCGGTGCCTGAACTGAACCAAACAGGAAGTGAAATCCAAACTTAAGCCTCAGACATCCTTCCATCCGACCTCCTGTGTGGACGTTGCGGCTGGAACACATTCCTTTCTTCCTATTTCAAAATGTATTTCATTAACTTCCTTAAAAACTCAACCAAGCAACTGACAAACACTGACATAGTTTTGGTAGTTAAGCCTAACCGAAAACCAAAAGTACCCGAGACTGAAAGCAAAACTAAAGTCTAATGAAAACTGTCCACCACAGGACATGAGTTTAGGTCTTTCCTACAAGGACATATGTGAAAACTGAGTGAAGTCTGGAGCTGATTTCAACCACCATCTTACCACATCACGGGTTAGAAACTGTTTCACGTTTCCCTCAAGACTTGAATGCAGTTTAGTTGTAAAGGAACATAACACCTGAGCATCTTCCCGTCTCTCTGCCTCTATACCTACTTGTTCCCTCCTCTAATCCCGTATCCATCAGTGCAGGAAGAGTTGCCTCCGAGGTGGACGTCTTGGTTCGGTCCCGGTCTCGTTCTCTGTCCCGGTCCCGGTCTCTCTCCCTCCCAGCAGAGGAAGCCTCGCCGGCTCGTCGCTGCCGGTTCTTCTGGGCCTCCATGGCTTTGAGTTTCCGGGCGTGTTTGTGGCCTTTATAGTGGGCCTCTGCTTGGTTCTGCGGGGGGGAAACGAGAGGGAAAAACCAGGTTAATAGGAAAAAAATAAAAAAAGGCAGAGAGTCCGACACTCGGCGCATTATCTGCTGGAGAGACTGGAGTCCACGTGCAGTAAATGTTAAAATGCATGGCTGAATATTCGCTGCAAAGAGGAGAGTCTGTTTCCACCTGATAACAGCGCCGGCACATTGGGAGGCCAGAGGTATAATTGCATGTGTAATATGCAACAAGAGAGAGGATTCCATCGCTACAACTACCCCATTAATGTGCACCGTGAGAGTCGGCTTCTGCAGAACCGAGACACATGTGGCAGCACATACTAATGTCACACATATTCGAGCGCCCGCGAGCGCACGGACACAAAATCAGACGCATTTTCGACTGACTGCACTGCAGCAATAAACACGCAAATTTCCCTCCGGGTGGATCACGATTTACCTTCGCATTCTCATCACTCTCACGACCCCCGTTCGATCTGAGAACAAAGCCCCGCTGTTGTCGGAGCAGGCGCTGATACACAAGAACAGCAGAGAAATCAATACAGAGATCACTCATTAAAAGCTGGAACAACCAGCGAGGATCATCAGCTCCTGGTCCGGACGGAACGCAGCTATGGAGCAAAACGGATCCAGAAGCATTATGGAAAACAATTCTACGAAATCACTGTTAAATACGCACAGTACCGGCATTATTAAATGAGGTTTGAAATTAAATCCAAATCACATCAATGGTCCCTAAAGTGAAAATGGTAGAAAATGCAGAACAATATGAGCAGTTTTTAAAAATATATATATAAATATTTAACTCTGTAGTTATAATTTTTTTTTGTTGTTAAAAACAACATAAAATTGCCAAAATATTCTGAGCCAGAACCAGTAAAAGCAGAAAAAAAAATCAACTGATATTCAACTTTTTAATGGTCCTTGAACTAATCATCTGCGAAGAACACTTCCTTCTGGAAAGTTACCCAAATTTAAGCTTAAAATTATAATAGTTGATTAAATTTTATTTTTCTTCATGTCTCATTTTAAATTTGCCAAAAAGAAACTGTTAGGTTGAGCCAGATTAATCTATTTGCCTGAATTTAACACAGAAGATAAGATAAAACCAAAGAATTTATTTTTGCCAGATGTTGCTCAGGAAACAAAATGACACAGCATGAGGAATGCAGTGCCTGGTAGACAAAACTGTAAACTACTACTAGTGAAAATAGAAAGAAAATAAGACTAGAACAGCAAAGTAAAAAGTAAGACTGGCAAAGAGTCTGAATTCGTCACATCACATCACACATGATAATGAAAAATGTCTCATTAAATTGAAATACTGCACATGAAAGAAAATGCACTAAATATTATTTGTTTGCTGTAAAAAAAAAAAAAAAAGTCAGTAAAAAACTAAAAATTCTGCACCATAAAGTTAATTTTGCATTTCATGACAACTGGCTGGCTGACAACTGGTTGGTGTTTTTTGTATACCTTGTACTAACATAATAAAACCCAAAACCTGATTCAATAAAAGGGTTTGAAAGGCATAATATCTTTAAAAAAAACAGCCCAAGTCATACAATTCATATGACTCAGAAACTGTGAATACAGAAAGGATCATTGGATATTCAACTCTCTGACAGTCCTTGAACTTATCAATGTGACTTCTGGTTTTGTCAAGAAAATTAACCAAATCTGAGCTTAAAATTGTGATATTTTATCAAAACCTCTTTATCCTATATGTCTCATTTGAAATGTTGCAGAAAATAAACCCTTTCCAGTAACCAGACTTGGTAAAAACAAAAGATTTTCCGTTTCTGTGTACAACCGAGAAGCATTTCGTGACTCAGCGGTGACCAACATGACGGAAATTCAGAAACTTTTGGCTGAACTGCAGGCAGTGTTTCCATAGAGCAGAGAAGAGACAAGTATGGAGACAAAATGAAAATGTGAGTGGTAAAATAGCTTTAAGGTGTGGAGGCAACACTTTTCTTCCAGTTTTGGTGTCACATTATTTTGTTTTTTATGTTTTGTGGAATAAATAATTAAAAAAAATCAATTTCTGTTCATTTTTGTTAGGATTTCAGGCATTATAATTGATTCATCCTGCAAAGTAGACATCTCTGAGTTCTCTCTCCTTCATAGTCGTTCTGTATTCAGGACTTTATATTGCAGTGAAATTGAGCCCACAGTGAGTAAAAATGTAAGAGGTGCAAATAAAACATCCAGAAACTGTATGTTGGAGTCCAGACAGTTCATATGTTGTTTCATCTTTTACACTTTTTGAAACGTGTCAGGTAGAAAATGGTGGAAAAGTGGTGTAAAAGTAAAAAAATCTAAGCACCTACGTAGCAAAAACATCACACAGTCATTGTATTGATTAGAAAATAACCCGCAATGGACATATTAACATTATTTCTGGTCTGTATTATAACTGTGTCATAATGCACAGAAGAACGTTATGTCTGCTTCTATCTATGGCTGTACTGTTTCCATAGAGGTGCAGGACTTTATATTGCAGTGAAAAATGAGCCAACGCCGAGGAAAAAAAAAATGTGACAGGAGCAAATAAAAAGCTCAGAAACTGCTCGGAGTTCAGAGGGTTAAGAGGCAGGTGGATTATGCTGCAGCTTTCATTCTACCTCAGATGTCTTCAGCTTAACCCTTCCTTGAGAAATAAATCATGCAAATCCTCAGGCACTGAACTGGATTAATAAAAAGACTGGACGTCTCTTTGAAGGACTCATAAGTGAGGAATAAATACATGCAGAAATGAGACGATAATTGCAAACTCAATGCAGAGTTCTCTGGTTACCTAAGAATTTATTCAGTAATAAAAAAAAAAAAAGAGGTTATTGCCCCGACTGTGCAGAGACACAAGCATCTATAGAAACAACTCCTTCGCATCAGCACGTCGCGTGGCTGATTGGCCGTGAAAAGGCTTCGGAGAGTCGCCCTCGATGTGACGAATCCGGCCGGTGATTCCTTTAACCAGCAAAGCTCTGCAGCCGACTGAGTCTCGGCGGAGGCAGAGGGACGAGGTGTGAAATGAGCTTTGGTTTTCGCCACCGCAAGACTACAGGGAGACGCGGTGTTCTTCAAAGGGCTCTAGATTGTCCAATGATGAAGAAACCGCTGAGATAAAAGCAAACACGGGGACCGCAGACATGTGTTGAGGGGGTGTAAAACATGAAACCCACAGAGGAAAAAACACACACTGACGTACAGATAAAGTTGTTCAACCGGCTGCTTTGTTGAATTCGACTGCGATGGTTGATGAATAACACCTCAAATCACTCACTATGTTGGGCGGCTGATGTGGAAATACTTCCCTTTTTTTTTTTTTTTTATAAAATCAGAATTGCCATTTGTCTGTTTTGCTGCACTGTGCTATAAATACAAGCAGCCCAATTATATTCTAGTATTACAATGTGTTATGTGGAGCACAAGAAATAATACAAAGTTGGTTTCTAGTGGGTGCAGAAGTAACACTGAAACATAAAGTCTGCACACTTGTAATGCGCCCACTCGCTGTAGTCCTAGTGTAGCAATTTCCACAACATTTCAGCACCACTGTTTATGTATTCTCGACACCTAAAATACTTCAGCAATACATTGCTGTTTATTTTAGACCCAAGCCTTCTATACAAAACTACATGAAACGAAGAGACCTAAATAAAACGATGAACTCCGTCTCATCAAAACTGACAAAACCCCTTTTTATCTTCTTAGGCAGCGATTAAAATAAAGTGAGAGTTGCAGCAGGAGTATTAGATGATAGGAATTAGCATGCAAAAGATGTTGACAGTGGATTGGAAATTCGAGAGACGTTTTGTTAACCCATCCATCCACCCCGACCTCCTCCACCTGCAGATTTAAGCTGTTTAAGCTGCAAATGTAAAGCAAACTTCTGAAATGTCACAAAAAGGGAAAAAGAATTAGTCTTGTTTCCATTAACTGCTTCAGGGTGAATAAACTCAGCTGACTAGCGTCGTCAGAAGGCAGCAGTATAGGTAACGTTTTGTAAAAATGCAACAAACTTAAATGTAACACTCATTTAAATCCTTTCCTTTGCTAATTTTTAAAAAAATTAACCATCTGAACCTCAAAACCTGCTAAGTTTGAAAGGCATTTTTTAAAAAATTAAAAATAATAAACAAAATTACAGCATTTACCTGAAACAGAAAGTATAAAAACAGAAAAAATGACAGGATTTTCACCTTTCTGACGGTCTGTGAACGCATCTTGTGTAACATGTGGTACAACAACAACAACAAAAAAAAGAATTAAAAAAACCCTAAGCTTAACATATATTATTTCTTTATCAAAATCATTTCATGCTACATGTCTCATGTGTTTGTTTTATGAATGCAAAACTGTAAATAATATAGATGTTATTTGAATTTCTTAAAAAAAAAAAAAAAAAAAAGGTAAATAGCTTTTCAAACCATTATTTTACAGATTCATGCTGTTTTGTTCAATTACAAAAGAAAAAAGAAATCGGTATTAATTTACTTGTTAACTGTAAGAAAATGGGCCAAACTGTAAATATAGATCCCATCAGCCTTCAAAAAAAAAAAAAAAAGTATTATTTTACAGATACTTCTGTTATTTGAAAGCCAAATTATTTATATTAAGGATGAAAACATGTTTGTTAAATTACAGATAAAATCAAGTAAAATCACAGAAATAAGAAATAATTCATTTTTTAACCCCTGCCACCAAAAAACCCCCCAAAAAACAAAACTGCCGGCAATAAAGTCCACATCAAAAATCTGCATTTTTACAAATACTTGTTCTTTTACAACCTGTGACTGTAAAATTAGAATCGTGTGTAAGTCAGCTAATATCACGATTATTTTAAAGACACATTTGCTGGTGTTTCTACCATTTTAAAATTTTTTAACATGATATTATTTCCCCATAATATTCTGCTTCCTGGTTTGTTTTTTGCAGACATTTCTTTACAGTGTGTTTCAATGCTGCGGCTGACTGGTGCAGAGCTCACATTTACATCGCTGCAGCTGGGTGAAAGGCCGAACATCTGGAAGTCGGCGAGAAGTGCGATTGTCTGCTGGTGCTGAACTGCTCTTTGAGGTCAGGTTGGGTTATATTAAGCAGCCGAGCGAAGCTTTTTTCCCCCTCTGAGCATCATGCGCAGGGATAACTGGGTATCATATCTGAGCAAACTCGGAGGACAGCAGTGCAGGAGGGTGTTGGGAGAGTATTCATGCTCTCTGAGAGGCAGATAAAGCTACAGTCAGGCCTGACACTCCTCTTTAAGTCGCTGTGCAGAGGCAGCGAATGGGATTTGCTCTACTGTGTGAAGAGCACGTCTGCTTCCCTGTCTCCAGAGCCTCAGCCCTGCTTTGAAGATGGAGTCCAACTAAAAATGTGCCCGAGTGCCTCGCTGTGCCCGTACCTGAGATGTCTTAAGGCTTTCTGAACCGCTATCTACTTGTTTAAATGAATATGCATGAAATGTCACGGGATGTTTGTTAACCATCTGCAGCACGGTTGCGCTTGTATTTGTTTGCGGTGGCAAAAAAACAAAAAAAAAGGATAGTGGAGCCGAGAATGCTGCTTTCCTGCTGTGGCTGCTGATTGTTTCTGCTCTTTGCTGATAAACGGCAGCTCTCCCTGCTGTCTAATCCCTCAAACCAAAACAACTCGCAGTCGCACACATACGGATTCCACTGAAAGGAAAGCTGAGCAAACTTTAACACACATAACTGGAAGAAATAAAACAACAAAAAAAAAAAGACCAACTTTAAAAAAAAAAAAAAGACCAACTTTTCATTTCATGCATTTGCAGAAAGGGATACACTTAGTTTTTTCCCCCGCTTTGCATAGGCACACAAAGAGACGCACACACACACACAGTGAGTCAGTGATAAGAGCCGAGGTAATTGCAGGGAGATAATAATAAAAACTGACATTCAAGAAGATAGCAGAAGCCCAGAATAATGTTGTTCTCTGAGGCAAGACTCGCTCTCTGCTGTAGAGTGCTGCTTTCAAAGCTATAAATTACAGTCTAGCATATACTGTCTCTCTCTGTGTTGTATTGTCCGACAGCCCCTCTGTCTTCCTCATAAACACGGCAGCATGAAATCGATGAAGCGTTATTCCTTACCGTGGAGTTAAAGCGCAGGTGGCAAATGTTGCAGGAGATGATCTGTTTCTTTTTGAGGGGCTGAGGGACTCCGAATGTGTGGTTGATCACTGCTTTCTGGACTGGATCCATCTGAGAGACACAAACAAATATAACATTAGAGCTTTTATTTTACCAAGTAAGAAGAGCAACAGCTTAGATTGACTATTTAAAAAAACAATCAGGCCCCACAGTAGGAATTA